ACACATATGGATACACATGCAAATCATGCAACATAATATGGTACACATATTATGGTACTGCTGCACTTACATTCACAACAACCAGTGACTCCTTCTGCAGACTTCTGATCCCCAACCTCACGTGAACGATCAGGTCCCACACTAAGGATCGGTCGATTTAGGGGTTCCCACGCTAGCACCACGACGATTCTTTGGCCTTTCGACACTTTTCCAAGGCTTTTCCAAGGCTTTTCCTAGGTTTCCTAGATGATTGAAAAAACTGGTTGACCTGGTGCTGTCCTCTCAAACCCTTATAGTAAAACAATGTAAAGCGGTTCTTCAGCCGATTCAGCCGCTTCAATGATTGCAGCGACCGGATTTCCCCAGCGAGTTCTCGCGCCTTCACCAGCGGCCCGACCCCCGTCCTCCAGGCCCTCGCAGTCCCAGCTCTCGAGTACCTGGCGAGTCCGGTAATGACGAGTCCAGTCCACCGGAGCACCCAGAGAGGGCGGTCATACCCTTTTTGGTGAAACGAGTGGGACCCAGAACACCGCGGGATACCCGTTCAATTCTCTGTCGAATTGCTTGTGTTGGTCGGCCCAATAGCAGCTAGCATTCTGGTCTGCATCTCATTTTGGTTTGCTGAGATGCCACTGCAGCAGTCCAAAAGCTGGAATCCATTCACTTGTGAGACCTCCGCCGCACCCCGCCCCATCCCCGCCCCTCACCTCGATGGTCTTGGCCGACCACTTGGCATCGAATTTCTGGTGCGGTTCGCGCCAGGGGTAGGACACCGTCAAACGCTCCCACTCCTTGGACTGTCTCGACGGGACCGAAGGTGGCGGTTTTTCCAGTCGTGACTGACAGAAGCAGCAACATCCACTGGCACTTTTTCTGGAACCACATCCACTGCCACTGCCGATCAGCAACAAAGAACGCGCAGTAAAAGCAACTCTGACAAATGACATATTGCATACATCCACGCAGGCTGGAAACCCACCTCAAATCTAGAATGAATGCTACGCAGTTCGACTCAGAGTCTGGACCCTCGGGCTTTGACCCTGGCGCTGCCCCTGCACAGGATGGCCATGGATTCAATCACATGCCACGACCTGGGTGTTTTTTCTGGCTGCCCCTGCAGAGCTGCTGTCCAGTGGTATTTCTGGCTGCCCCTTAAAACCCGCCACACGCAAACACACCAACCGCTTCTTTCTATCCCAAACCCTCTGTGCAAACAGCCCGACTGGTCCCTCGCATTGATTCCAAAACCCCCCAGACCCCTTGGAATTCAAGGCTTCGACCCCCAGACCCCCCCCCCCCCCCCCCCCAGATCCGCACCACCTTCCGCTCGCACCCGAACCGCCGCTCCGCTCCGCTCCGAACCGCCGCCGCTCCGCGCGAAGGGCTCCGAGCTTCAGCTCCTTTGGCCTTGCGCTTCGGTAGACGACTGGCACCTCGGGACGCGACGGATGTAGCGCCGGTCGGAGGTGAAGGTCGGTGGGTGAAGCGTCCCTGAGCTCTGTGGAACGAAGTTGGTGAACACACGAACAGCATTCTAATAGACCCTTCTTCCTTTAATTTTTAGGCCTTCTTCTTCTTCTTCTTCTGTGATTCCAAAAAGGCGATGGCCTCCAAAAGGCGAATGACAGACCGCCCCCCCAAAAACGCGGCCCGAAAATTCCGCGTTGCAACACCCGGATGCCTTGCGACGCATCTGCGCCCGTGGCACGGGTGGACGTGTCTTTTCTCCAGTCGCGGATGGATGGAGCCGAATGGAATTCCGCTTGGTGAGGGACTGGACCACCTAAATACATACTGTTTGATGTGGTCTGAGGTGGTCTGTGGAGCGAAAAAAGAACGTGCCTTTTTTTCAGGGTCGCATGGCAGGTCCTGGGCCCGGCCATCCAATGGTCTTTAACCTCTGAAGGTTGGCCTGAAACACCTTGAACAGTGGACTCCTGCGGAGGCGTCTGGGGTCTTGGATGGTCTTGGGCGTCTCAAATCCGCTTCTGAAAAAACCGGTCGGGCTGGTTTTTATGGAGGCGTCTGGGTTGTCAACAGGCCAGAAGCTGCAAAGTCAGTTCAGCTGACTGCCGGGTGGGGTGGGACACCTCCCATTGGTCCTCAACAACGAAGCAAAGCATGATTTCCGCGAAGCCAAGCGAGACCCTCGATCCCAGTTGGCCTGTGGAAAATCCAAGGTCCGTGACCCCAAAGGAACTTGGGGTACGTCTCTAGTCGAACGTTCAAGTCCTTCAACCTCTGATCGCGTCTCTGCCCAGGCACAGCTGGTGTTCGACCGCGGCAAGGGGATCCCCTCTTGCCACGCGTCCGGAACCGGCACGGGAACCGGTGGCGCGACCACCGCGGTGTTCGGCGCGGTGTTCGGCGCGGAAACGGGCTCCATGGTAGGCCGTTCGGCGGTGTGTGATGAAGTGATCCTCCAATCCAAGGTGGCCACTTGCGGCTTGAAGACTTGATTTGGAGTGAGATCTGGACGTTCATGGCTTACCCATGATAGACGTTCATGGCAACATCTGCAAGTTTACTTTGTTGTTTGGATACTTCCCCTTTGGGTTTCAGGTGCGAAGGAGGGATATGATTTGGGGCCAAAGGATCCAAACCTTAAAACCACTCGACCGCGTCGACGTCGATCCGGGCGGGTTCTCTTCATCGACCGTTGACACGACCGACGCGTCGAACATGACTCATTCTTGTTACTACTAGTAACAAGTGCCACGCTAGTAGTAACAAGTGCCTTACTAGTAGTAACAAGAAGCTATTAATTAAATTTAAGTTTAATTCTAATAGCTTCTTGTTACTACTAGTAAGGCACTACTACTAGCGTGGCACTTGTTCCTAGTAGCTTCTTGCAGACTGGGCAGGGACCGGCTTCGTTGGACCGGACCCTCACTTCTTCGACTCCGCGCATCGGCTTCGTCGTCCGAATTGGTGGAGACACCCGCGGAGGCTGAGCGGGAAGAGCCGAGGTTCTGAAGGAAGGAAGGGATGAAGCCGTTTTTTCGCTTTTCGAGCACTTCATATTTGGGCTGAGTTGGGCATCATGGGTTTTCGAACATGTAGCTTTTGTTGGAGTTTCTTTTTCTGCGTCATGGACGACTTAAACTACTTTCCGCCTGCAAATCAGATCTACTAGTGGCCTGGCCTGATGAACCTCGAGCCAAAAGCGATCCTGCTGCGCGTCACGAGCATCCTGCTGTGCCGCGTTCTGGCGTGGAGGTGGTTCGCAAGGTTGCTGGAGACGGGTGTTAGCTCCGAGGAGTCCCGCCGTGTTCCCAGGATGACCTGCTCTTTTGGTCGATTCCTTCGGGTCGTCGAATTAAGCGACCCAAAGTTTTCCTCGCGCTAAGTGTCCTTGATACTTCGGTGTGCCAAAGATAGACGTCGTACTGGAAGACTGATGAAGTCGGGTGTTTTCTTTCGTGCCGTCTGCTTCCCAAACAGGCTTTTTGGCCACGCGGCCTTTCTCTTTTCTCCCTACCCTAAGAATCCTTGGGCTCTCCACGGCAAGGGGTCGGACCCGACACCGAAACGCAGGGGTCCGGGCCCTCAAAATCCGCCCTCAAAACCGGAAATGGAGACCCCCCGACCCCTCCAGAGGATTCGGGCCCAGGAAGGGTCGCGTCTGGGTACCAACCCCAAAGACTCCATGGGACTGTCATATATGCCTACATTGGGGTGGTTTGGGGGGTCAATGTAGGCATATATGGCATACATGGAGTGTCTGGGAACTAATCGAAACTGCGACCTTTCTTCTTTACGGTCTCCGGGGGTCCAAAGGTCCGGTCTGCCTTGCGAACTCTCTGGTCCGGGCGAGCACGAATCCGTTGATGCGAGATGAATGAGGCCAAACAGCACATGGATCCCTTTAAAAGTGGGTAGGAACCATGGATGTGTAGGGGAAAACTAGATCATCAAGCGGTTTTGTGTTGGAGCCTCCATGGCACCACCTTCCCCAAACAATCCATGCCATGCCCCCCAGTGTGTTTATTAGTCACACCAAGTCATTCTCTTTCCGAAAAGGGGAGCCCCTCACGGAGATGTCCATCTTCAGCTCAACAAAACTTGCTGGGCGCTGCCCACTGACTCACGCCTCCCCTTCCGTCGACTGGAACTCACGACCCCGGGTAGCTGTGAACAAGCCCACGAGAGGAAGTCTCACCTCTGTGTTGAAGGACTCGAGTTAGTTTAACTATCCCAGTTGGGTACCCCAGGTACTCCAAGTCCTTTTTCAGGTCACCAAAAGGTTCCCTCTCTTGGTGACGAGGGACCTGGGCCGCCGGGGCCAGGTGAGGTCACTCAACCACAGTCATGATGGCACCCCTCTCCCAACATCCCCCAAGCAGCCCAGTGGGGGCAATAAACCCCTGGTCCCGACCCTCATGTGAGTAGTGGCCGTGAGATCTTCACTAGAATCTGTTTCTTGCCGAACTTCGTTGCCCCGGGTGTCCAATGTAATCGATCCCCAAGTAACTCGACGCAGCTTTGATTGCACAGATATGTCGGACTCCACAAGCTTTCTCCCCGGTGCCGGTCAGGTCTGTGGTCATTTCCTTCAAAGAAGAAGGTGTTGGTACATGCCCAGACCATCCAAGGGACTGACAGGACGGACTACCGAGAAACGGCCCAAAAAGTGGGCCAGAGTGAACGGGGGGTCTGGCTTGATCGACGTATCTTCCAGTCCCGATCTGGTGCTGGTACATGTGGCACAGTTTCCTACAATCGTCCAGCCACCCAGCAAAACCTGGTCTTTGACCTCCTTAAGTCGTGTTTATGTGTGTGTGTTTATATATTGAAAATGACCACGTCCAGTCCAATGAGGTCAAACAGACCTGTACCAGGACCCTCCAACAGGTCACCTCTTGCAACTTTTAAGTCTACAAAAGCCTCCAGAGGAGACCTGTTGGAGGGTGCTGGTATGGGTAGGCAGATCTGGTCTCTTTCCACTGCACAGACGGCACGCCCGCACTCGCACTCGGGTGGGTTTCTCCCTCCATCGCCTCCATCGCCCACGGGCCGGAGGCGACAGTGTGGCGTCAGCTGATGCAGCGCGGAGTAACTCACCACCTGAAGTGCAGCGTGGAGGGCGGAATTCAGGGAAGCTTCGAGGTACATCAGTACAGATGAGTGGCAAAGGTAGTACCCAGTTTTCAGGGGTAGTACTGCTATGTTGGGTATCTCCATGTATCTCCATTCTCCCTGGGCGCAGTGGATGATGCTTCAGTTGCAGGCCGACATCCCGCTGAACAAAACATCGTGATCTTCGAAAACCACCAAAGCCGACAGGGCTCAGAGCTCAGAGACCTCCTGAAAACACCCCCAACTCCCAGACACTCCATGGGACTGCCATATATGCCTACATTAGGGTGGTGCCAGGGGGGTCTGGCTGGGGCGGCAGTCCGTCCTGGCAGTCCCAAACAGGTCGTGTCTGGGACTGCTATGCCCGAGCTCGCTTCGCTTCGCGAATCGCTCGCTTGGAGCTTTCGGCGACCGTTCCGGAAGGTCCACCCACCCGTCTCTGCGACCGGTCCGATCGGGACGATCACTGTGACACCACGTGTGACGGGTGGGACCCTTCGAGGAGTTTCGGGGGATCCATCAGATCAGTTCCTGGGTTTCTGGGGGTGCTCAACACACCAATCGTGGTGTCCAAAATGGATCGAATTCAGTATACACCGTGGCCACGATATCTATTTGGGGATCACTATAAATCGTATAGTTGGAACTGGACCTGGTTGAAGATTCTTGGATCAAGTCACTGTCTCCCCTTTCTCTCCCTGTGGGTGCTTGTGGTGCGGCAACTTCACATACATCTTCAGGGGGGGGGTCTAGAAACCACTCGACCTGGGTGGTGCTGGATGTCGTTTTTACCACAAACCACCATGGTTTGAATCCGATGGAGGGAGCCGGATGCCGCGATGCCGGATGCGGGCCCAGGGGCGCGGCATCCGTTCGGTAAGGCCTGCAGCATCCGACCTTCCGCGATGTCACCCCACTGGACGAGTGTAAATCCGAAGAGGCCTGCGGGGGGTTTGAAAGGTTGGAAAGGTTGAACACCTCAGCAATTAAGAGTCAAATATCAGGACACCCGGACCAGGGGCTTCTATTGATAGCCCCTTTAGATGTGGGCTTCCATTAACCAGCCCCTGTGGGTCCTGGTATGGAGTCTAGAGTCTAACAAAAAGGGTGAGTTGATGGAGTTGCTCTGCCATGGCCAGTCGACATCTGTCAATGTCCGAAAAAAATATTTGTGAAGGCAGTCTCAGCACTCGAAAAAGACTCTACGAGTCCTTCTGGAAAATCACACTGAAGGGGCCAAATCAACAGAAGCGACCGATTCGTGGTCATTTGTGGCCCATCTCCCGGGCTTTCACCCAACGTCAGTCCATCGAACAAAGTCCCAAAAAGGACATCAAACCATAGCTTGGGCATGGTTGGGGGTTCTCACTTGGCTGATCTACCACAACAACCAGCTGATTCCGGGTACGCTCGTTCACCACGACCTGCGCGACCACCACCTCGCTCAGGTCTGGTCGTTCTCTCGACCTCGTTCCGGTCACGGCCTGCGTCGTTCTGTACGTCGCTGGGTAAGCACACCTCCAGCACCACGGCAGCCGCTTCTCTCAGCAGCTTCTCCTTGGGCCGGTGGCGACCGGTGGAAGCCAAAAACATCGAAAGACACCTCCTTCGACCATAGCGACAAGGAGGTTGTTCACCCAATACACTTTTGATAGAGTGGTTCGTCGATTTTTAGCCACATCCGAATCAAGGAGCATCCCACCAGCGACGTATTTAAAAAAATAATACACAAATCAAATTTTACGGTTAGTTTCGAAACTATACGGAAAATCACACGGATCGATCCTATGAAATCCGTATAGTTAGTTTCGTCTCATAGTTCCTCGTATATAAAGACAACGTGGCCAACGTATCCAAAGCTTTAAAGTGGCCTAACCGATCCCTACAACAAAATAAAGGTCTGCGACACCAGGGCGGAGCCCTTACAATTAAGTTAAAATACCATATTATCAAATCTCCAACATCGTTGAGACTTTCAATGTGCCAAATACTCCATGGGACTGGCATATTTACACACCTTGGGGTGGTTTTGTCAGTATGGGGTCAATTGATCATGTAAGAGCAAGTCCCATGGAGGCAGTTATATATACCTACTAGCCTTTTCTCGGTCAATTGGTCAGTCCCCTAAACAGGTCTGTGGGAGATGGGGAATGGGTCTATCCCATTACCGCAGTGGATGATGGTTCAGTTGCATGTTGTGATAAGACCATATAAGACCCTAAGACCCACGGCTCTTTCCGATTTTACGAACGGACACACACACACACACACACATACCAGGACCCCTCCAGTCGGGGTGCCCTGTCTGGAAGCCTAACTAGGTAGTGTGGGGTAGTCCAGCCAGGACACCCCGAGGGTCGGAGGGTCCTGGTACACACATTAGAGATAGGCGATTCCAACGCCCGGTCGTCCTAACGTTGGAAGCGCGGGCGAAGAACGACCTGATGTTTGGAGGAATTTCAAGGAATGAGAAACAGGATGGACAGGTCTTTGCCCGGAGGATCGAAGGATCTGTTTGGGTTATTCTCCTTTAGGAATCTGAGGTTGATCCGAGATCCTGGGAGACCAGGATGCCAGGACGTTCGCTCCAAAGAACCGGTCCGAAGTGTCCAAGCTGGGCTTCCCCAGTCCTGGTCGCGGAAATGGATGGATCGAAGGAAACCCAGTCCCAGCCATTTCCGATGCTTAAGGATTTTCTGGCCAACCAATCGTTTCTGGTTGGGACTGGGGGGTTCCAGGTGGCCTTTTTCTCGCTGTGCGGCTGTGCCCCAGGCATCCCTTTTTTGGATCCAGAGCCTGCATCGTAGGCAAACCACTATAGAAAGGAACCAGGGATTCGGAACAGGTCTATGGTTTTAGTCTTTGGAACCAACTGGTTACCAGCCAAAAAGTGGTTTGCCTGGATGCCCTGGGGAGGTCAAGCGGACGGTCGGGCTGGTCGAATTCGTCTTCCCTCCCGGGCGGAAGAAGAGCGTCTGGGGTGTCCAGCAAGGACCCGCAGACCAGGTCGCAGCGCGCCGCTGGCGTGCCGTGGACGCTGTCCCAGAGGCAGCAGGAGGTGTCACTGATCACCTGCCCACAACGTGGACCAAAAAAAGGCCCACGGAATGAAGACATGAAGATCATCCACGGGCATCAGGTTCTTCCTAGGTTTTCATTCCTTTTTTTTCCAGCACACAACGACTAGTCACTAGTCCCGTCTCCGAAATGGTCCGCTGGGCTGCAAAGGAGATCGAGACTTGTTCCAGTGGTGGAAACGACCTGTGACTCTACAGGTGCCTGTAATAGTCAGTTCTCTTGGGGGAGGAATCGAGAGCGAGAGGAATCTGTTGGGAAGCTGTTGAGGATCCACTCCAGAAGCCTGGAACCTGGAACCTACACCGCAGAGTAAGTCACTATAGCCGCATCACTAGCCTTCCAAGAAGCAGGTCTTTCCACACCTCTAGGCTTGGGTTCTGCCCACCTCCGTTCACCCTCTCATGTCTTGGCATGACCGGTCCGGTCGGATTGGGTTCCGTGGCTCACGGCAAACATGAACCCAAGCTGGGCACGCGATATTGACTCAGACGTGCGTGTGATTTGAAAAGTGAGTCCATAGAGAAACAGGTCCATTTCATTCCAGTACCACTACCCAAACGCTCCGTGAACGACGCCCGACTGGTCCCTCAAAACATCTCAAAACACGGGACTTGAGACCCGAGACCCCTCCATACGGAGGGTCAAACCCCTCCATATGATGCCGGAAGCGCTCTCCCCGGCCTCGCGGCGGAAGCGCTCCGGCCAGCGGCCACTGAGCCGCTCCGCCGCCGCCGCGGCGCGCGCGTAGCGCGAGGGCGCCAGCTCGACGCCGTAGACGCGGCGCTCGGCGGTCTGCGGAGTCGCGGACGGGGCGAGGAAGAGCTGCAAAGCGACCTTTCCGGTGCCCATGCCTGGGGGAAGAACGGGCAGAAGGTGCGTGAAACACGCCTTAACTTGGAGGTTTATCAGGCCAAAGGGTCATTTAAGGCAGCCAGGCTAGGTTGCTAGGCTAAGAGCTAAGTGATCGGATTGAAAGTTGCATTGAAGCACCACCTCGCCACTGCTCGTTGCATCATCTCGCCTTTCAGTGCGTTTTGTTCGCCAAACTGACATGGCATCTTTAACCATGGACGGCGCGAGTGGCGGCAGGAAGCCGGACACAGAGACATCCAAACGGCGCGGCCCTTTGCCGGCAAACCCAGGGAGTCCAAGCCAACTGTGTCGGCGAGTGCATTCAACTTGACCCGTCTTTCGCTGTACGACCCGAATCTTCGGAATAGGATGAGTAGGTGACAGAGTGGACCTCTCATGGAATGGCGCCATGGATCTTCTTTCGTGACGAGTCTCACTTGCATTGGCTGCTTACATATAGGACGCTGACCCAGTTCGGGAACATAGAAACCATCACCCTAGAACCACCCACAAGCAGAACCAGGTCATCCCAGTGACTGGAATTCCCGTCTGCTGTCTTCCCTGAGGGCCATCTTCTTTGGTCGCCAACCCTTTTCTTTCAGCCGCGTAGGTGTCCAGTTCTTGCGGAAGGGAGGCTCTTTACTTTCCCATTCAGGCGCTCCGTTCACGACGCCCGACTGGTCCCTCAAGACCTGCAGGGATTGGTGAGAAGGTGTAGAGACCCCTGACCAGTTCGGATTCAGGTCCGACCCCTGCAGAGGATTCGGCTCTAGGGTCACATCCATCTCCCAATCACCCCCGGCCCAAACGCCAAGACACCCAGCTCCAAGATGGGCCCCTCCAGCTCTTGCTCCTTTCTTCCAAGAAAACGGACCACACCGGCGGTCCCGAAGAAAGGAGCGTGCTATTGAGTCGGCCTGACCGAGAGCTAAAGGCCCGACTATATTGTTGGAGTTCTTTGACTGGTTTGAGACAGTTGGAAGCGTGATTCTGATTCACCGTGATGGCGATTTTGATCGTTTGGTCTATACCAGCACCCTCCGACAGGTCACCAATGGTTCGACCTGAGACAGGGTCCAACAACCCTCAACTAACAGCCTGGCCCTGTTCGGGTGCTGGTAAGGGACTTCTCTTGTTTTGACTTCGATCTGAGCGGACCCTCCCAGTTCGACCTCTGGGAAGCTGCGGGAACTGCTGTTCAACTGATCCGACTCCATCTGTCCTGGTCGGATCACTCCTGGTCGGTGCCCCCTCCTCTTCAACGAAACACACCCCCGAACTGCCGATCACACATGGGTTGGTCTTCTCAAGTAGCTGGACACACTCCTCTTCCAGCCGAGTGTAAGCAGCAGCCCGCAAGCCAGCATCGGCGGGAGACGGGGGGGGGGGTCCCTCCGGCGGTTGAAGAGCCCTGGTTGAACAACCCAGCGAACCACGAGAGGGAGCCCTTTGTGGTGACCTGAAACATACCCGCGGGTTACCCCCGTTCCCGGCAGAGTCGAATCGAACCGTGTTGGAGTCCTTCCCACCTCGGAAGAAGGCCGTCCGACTGCGGGACCTTCCACCGCGGACCACCTGCACTTGGCCAGCACGGATCTGATCATGTTTGCAAACCATCGATCGGTTTACCCCGCTGAGCAGCAGAACGAATAGGAATGCCATGGCAGTGGGTCCAAAATGCCGGAAAACAGCCTGGTTTGACAGCTGAACCGATGCTGGACCGATGTGAAGGGATGTCAACCGACACCGACTTGGATCCTCAGCCTTCCCTCCGGTCTCACGTCTCCTCAAAGAAGGCCTCCTGCAAACGGCGGACGCCTTCCGGCAGCAGTTCACCTCACAGCCACGCAGTAGCGAGGGAACGGGCTGGTTTTGGGGCGCCAAGACCAAGCATGCAAGGCTCCAAAGAGAGAGGCACTGCATATATACCTGAACCAGGTATATCGGTTTCTAGATCCAAAAACACCAAGAACCAAAGGAAAGAAAAGAAACAAACAAAGCAGTTTTTGTTTGTTCTTCTCTTTGTTCACTAAATATCCAGGTAGAGCTCCTTTGGCACCGTCTAGATCTATCCCGATCTATCGAGCGTCTTTCGGAATGGCACCGCCGCAACATGGGGTCTGGAGCCCAAAATATGAGGGTCTCGAATCAACGTTTCCCAGACACGACTAATGGGACTGCCATATATGCCTACATTAGGGTGGTTTGGGGGGTCAATGGGGCGGCATATATGGCAGTCCCATGGAGTGTCTGGGTTTTAAGGGATCCTTTTCAGTGAACTAGGGTGGAATGGATCCCAACTTGAGGGTGAACGGAAAATTGGGCCGCGAAGCAAGAGCGACTCCAACTAGCTGAGGCTTCCGCTCCTCTGGTGAATCGCCATGGACCAGATCAGGCACCCAAAACCGTCGATGCGGGTCGGACTCCCCCACTGGTGCATCCTTCTTGATGCATCCACTGGCCGCGCGATGTTCACATCCATCTGGGTTCGGCCGTGTGCACTGCACAGCGGCGAGTGCCACGGTGGAGTTGGCGGAGAAATCCCCAAGCAGAAAAGGATGGGCGGAACCCGAAGGACTCGTTTCTTCGAGAAAACGAGAGGTGATAGATCATTTCCCAGACACGACCCATGGGACTGCCATAGGACTGCCGCCCAAGCCAGACCCCCATGGCACCACCCCTGGCCGTTTCTCGGCAATGTGAAACCACCCTATATAAGGACCAACCTTCGAGGCACACACCAGGTGACCGCCAGGGGGTCGGTGTTGACCCCCCGCGTCGAGGAGTACGAGCAACGGCGCGAGCAACGGCGCAGGCTGCGCGGAGTGTTCGGCCCGCGGTCGATTCGAGGCGCCATAGAGCAAGCTACTGCCGCCCTCCAAGACGCTTTGCACGTCCACCTCATCCACCGCCTCAGATGCCATTCGGAAGGGTTGAACTGAACATCAACATCTCTGAAAAACCACACCTGAGTGCGACCCGGTGTGGTTCTGTTTGGTATGTCAGGTGGGATTGACCTTCAACTCTCACCCGCCATCCCTAAGGGTTTACGGTTTGTTCCACCTAATTTGAATTCACTGTGGTTTCAACAAGAGTCCTTTCTGAGTGCCCAGATGAGGAGGTGCATATATTGCTTCATGTAACGATGTATTTAAAGACACACAACACACAAAGGAAAAACGATGGCATAAAAACAACCTTCATCCGGGCACACGTTTCGATGACTCCAGTGTTGTATCTTATCAATCGGATAAGACTCCTGGGAGTTTCGGGGACGACCAACCACCACAAAAAGGCGGAGTGAAGCGAGGGCCAAGAACGCTCGGCAACTGAAAAAGAACGCAAAAACGCAACGCTCGGCGATGAAACCGCGTGCAAAAACCGCTCATGCCATCCCTCCACCGAACTCTACGTCCTAGTAATACTTTCTGAAAAAGACATCACTTCGCCCAGTGGCGTGCCCGGCCAGTTGATGTCCAGTCTTTCCCAACTCAGCGCCATAGGCGTAACTCAGGAGCTCCTGGACGGCCGCCCCGAGCCGCGCGCGCGCTCCGCGCCCGGGTGACAGGTGGGGTGACAGGGGTGTTGTGGAATGAAGAGCGCTCACAAGGAGCCATGTCGGGGTGTTGTGTGGAATCTGCGAGATCTGCCAGTATACGACCAGGGGAGATGAGACAGATTTTCCCGGAAATTCAGGAAAAATCATCCAAACACTTAAAAAACAACAACAACTCCTCCCACGTTTTCTGAAAAATCCTCACCACCGCCAAAACTCCGGGCCACATCCGAGATCAAGAAGGAGCAGGGATCTGGACCCCAACATCAACCCTAAATTCGGTTCCTGGCTACGAACGGAGCAAGGACGCTACGAACGGGCCTTACTACTAGTAACAAGAAACTACCAGGGGCTCCTGGCCTTACTACTAGGAGCAAGGACGCTAGCCCCGGCTTCGGGCTGGAAGAAAACTTTTCCCTGGGATGGGGGTGCAGTCTCCACACCCTAGGTTTCCTGTCCCTCCATCGATTTAATGGCCAAAAAGAGCCGAAACAACACTTGTGTTACTAAAACCATCTAAATCAAAAGGCTTTGCACTATTGCAAAAACAAGGGGAACAACGAACAATTACACCACCATAGACCCCAAACACTTTCTGCTTTTCTAAACCGGAACACTCTGCAGATGCGCAGGATTGCAGGAGCAAATGCGAAGGGTTGCAAGGGAGAGGAGGAGAGAGGAGTCCACAGTTGGGAGGCACACGTAAAGGATTGCAAGGCGGACACTGCAGCCCAGACGGACACAGCAAGGAGCTGGGAGACAAATGTAAAGGATTGCAAGCGAGAGGCGGACACAGCAGCCCAGAACTGGGAGACAAATGGAAAGGATTGCAAGGCAGAGGTTGGCACCACGCAACAAGAAGGGAAACAAAAGGAGACAAGCAGACAGAAGGGAGACAAGGCGGACACAATGACCAACAAGAATCCTTTACATGTGCCCCCCAGCTCTGGACTGCGGCGTCCACCTTTACATGTGTCTCCCAGCTCTGGGCTGCTGCGTCCGCCTCTGCCTTGCAATCCTTTACATTAGCTCTGGACTGCTCTGGCCGCCTCTCGCCTGCAATCCTTTACATCTCTCTCAGCTGCTGTATCCGCCTCTGCCTTGCAGTCCTGTGCAATCCTTTACGAATGAAGGAAGTGTGAATGGGTCTGTGAATGGAAGTGAACAAATGGCTTAAGCACGAGTGAGCCTCCTTGTTGTTCCCTGTCAGCTTTCGGACCAACTCATTCAGCTCACCCCAGCGCCGGCTTTCACGCGCTTCAAAGCCTTTACGTCTGTTGTATTGGCCTTTCCATAGTTTGTGCCAGGCAGATAATGAGAAGACGATGCCATGGTTTGTCACCCAGCTCTGAGCTCCGCTCCTTTATATACATTTGTCTCCCAGCTCTGGGCTGCTGTGTCTCCCAGACAAGAAGGGAAACAGAAGGGAGACAAAAGGAGACAGCAGGGAGGACACCAACAAGAAGGGAGACAAGACCGGAGACGAAGGGAGAGAGAAGGGAGACCAGAAGGGAGACAAGGCGGACACAGTGACCCACAAGAAGGGAGACAAGACCGGAGACAAAGGGAGACAGAAGACCGGAGACAAAGGAGACAGAAGGGAGGGACACAATGACCGGCGCTCTGATTACATCGAGCAGGTTCGGGTGGGCAGTGCGGAGGCGTCGCCAACTGTGCGCATGTGCCGTATTCGAAACCCAAACCCAGGTTTTCTTCCAATCAATCTGAAGACGCAATGCTTCAGCCCAGGCCTGCGTTATCTCCAATGCTGGTTCATGTGCATCTGGGCAGATGGCTGACCACCCCAGATTGTCGGCATAACAGAGTGGAGCGACTGTGCGATCAAAGCCTGCAAATGGTGCACCCAGACATTGGAGGGCCAGCATGGCAAGTACAGACCAAGTGTCCACTTCGGGACAACCTGTGGTGGGTTGAAAAGGTGTCGAGATACTGCCATGGATTTCCCATACTCGATACATGGAGATAATGGACGTTTGCTGGAAGTGAACCCAATCCAGAGGTAGGCCACAATGGAGCACTTGTTGAGCTGCTGGGCATCTCCCGATCAAGTTGAAGGCCTTGCTCAAGTCCAGAGTCAATCCTCCATAGGCTGCCTCTGTCCAGGGGGATGTTTGTTCCAGCCTCCACTGACAGTCTATCATGGCATCAGCCAAGGAGCGACCGGGAAGAAAAACTATCTCTGGTGGTAGATGATGGGCAGCCCAATAGCGCAGGATTTTGGTGGTAGTCGGCCCCAGAGTCGGTAGAGCAAGGAGAACACTGTGATAGGCCTGGTGAGATGCGGTTGATCTGGCTGCATAGTTTTACCCAGCGGCACCGTCCTGGCTGTCATGTAGCTGTCAGCTGCACTGTCATCAGATCGTAAAGGTCGTCCTGGGCCTGAATGGGAAGGTCCCGGAGTTCTTGAGAAAACCAGCCAAAAACAGCCACATATACCTCGTGATGTGGAAAGTTTGAGATGATGAATGGCCTGTCGCCATTCAGTTCGCGTCAAGGTAAGGCTGCATCCATGGGCGGCAGAGGTGGAGTGTCACAGATCGCGGGACCAGTGCTGGGACCAGTATCGATTAAGCTCATCAGCAACCTGTTAGGGCAACATGCAGTTGATCTGCATCTGATTGCAAAAAATCAAATTCATCCCGGTTGCGGGCACAATAGGTCAGGTGAACGTCCCCAATACTATATTCTGCTTGAGGATGAGGATCTGTCAGAGCAGGCATGGTACCGCTGAGCAATCCTGTGCCCTCTCCCCGCAGAGATACGATGGGAAAACAGGTTGTGGTGTCGTAGTCATGCATGGGTGAGATTGTCGCCAGCGCCGATCATAGAGCCGCTCATATCGTTTTGAGGCTGTCTGACGCCGAGTTTCCTCTGCTTCCAATTGTTGAACTCGAAATTTGGTCAACTGAGAGGCTAGGTGGAGGTGACCATTCAGTAAACAGTTGGGACCAATCAGGCACCAAGGAAGGACCCCCTTCCAACTTGTGCAGTCGTCTGATAAGACTCTGGAGTCGTCGAAGTTGTCACACTGCTTCGCGGAACTTGGCCGTGGAACTATCGACCGCTGGAGCATACTGGTGATTTCCTGCGGGTCGAATAATTGGCTGATATAGAGGCACTGTGACTCGCTTTCGTGGTCGACATCGACCCCTTGCAGCTTTGGGCAAGCCTGAGTAGGGATATCGCGCAGAATCTCGCTGGTGTGACATCTGAAGGGCACGATGGACGGCTTGTTCACAATCTTGTGCCCATTGTTCAAGTGACATCGGGTCTGTTCGGAGCTGCTGATATTGATCCGCAACGTATCCATCGAACTGAAAAACTCACGGTCTGGGTCAGGAATAACTTCGATTCCTGGGAACGTGGCCCTCATCCATGACTCTAAAGCTAGCAGCCAATGCTGCGTTCGTCCCGAATCTTCGAAAAGAGCTCGGACCCTACCAAAGCTAGCTCCAGCGTGCCACATCTCATGTACAGGTGGCTTCCATCTCAAATGTTGCCTTTCGTGTTTCAACAAGCATTCTGACATATCCAGACGACGTCTATACTGCAGTCCACTTTTGAATTGGCGAGAGTGAAAGGTAACCTCCTCGTGGCTCGCGACGATAGCAGATTTTGGTGGCGGAGCTGGCGAGGTTTAAAAAAATCTCATAGAATGGGATCATCACTTGATCCCAGAAGTTGAAAACTGTAGTGAGAAGCGCGACAAGGCCGTCGTCTCCTCCCAATAGCTTTCGAGGAACAGTCAGGTAGTGAAGACAATGCATAAAATGCCATCTGTTGAGCTGACCAATGGTATCCCTTGCATAAATAGAAGGGTGTCCACTCGGCCCCAGTCCATTGACAGTCCAGATGTAATTGCCATCTCTTAATCGACTGTACATGAAGGAAAACATATCCATAAGGACCAAACAATCAGCTCCACGTCTCTCACGAAGTGCTGGCTTTCTGAAAGCACCAATACATGACAGTGGCCGACATGACAGTCTCCCAAACGTTTATGCCTGAGAAATAAGCTTGTCGAACACCATCTGGCGTCTCAATTTCCTTCAATCCTCCACAGTCAAAGCCAGGAAAGTCACTTTGTAACAAGCAACATACTTGTTGATATGCATATTCTGCCATCTTTGCTACCTTCTCAGATAACATAGACAGATCTGATGCAAATGACGTCACACTTGTACCTGCCTTCCAGCGTTTGTATAAAGGCTGATACAAGGCAAGACAAACAAGCAGAAGATGTTGAGCAATTTGCCCAAACCAATCTGATCTTGGGTTTTGACTTGTCTGACATCTGGCTTCGAGGGGAACATGTTTGGATCAAATCCATTTGCAACAGTGTAACGTATCATACGCGTAGCTTTGAGCAATCCAAGCCTGTGATTCTGCAATCTGGTTCCATAATAGCCCCATCCTGCCATAGAATTGGCGGGGTAATTCACCTCATCCAATGACACCGGCCACAACAACGTGTTCATTCGTTCGGAGAGCGACTTGTTTTTCAACGCCGACGTCATTTACGTCCGACATCAGGACGCCGGCAGAGATCTCTCTGATTTTCGTGGTACTTGCCAGTCATGGAGTACATCGAGGACGTCCCCGCCATGGCCTTTCACAGGACTTTTCATGCTGCAATCAAGGGCATTCAGCAGGACGGCCTGTTGGTTGGCGGTGGAGCCCGGCGCAACTCCGGCAGAGCCCACATCTATTTGGCTCGAACTCAGATTCGCCAAAATGAAGTCGTGCCGGGAAATCGGAGGCTCAATCCGATCGAAGTTGTTGTTGCTCTGCGTGAGGCAGTAGCCGATGGTCTGATCTGCTTCTCGACCAAGGCGGGTGCTATATTGTCACCTTACAATATCTCGAGCGCATACATTATCCACATTCGGGATACCGAGAAGGACATCATCCTCTGGTCGAGGTCCAACGCGACAAAAGTCATCCGAAGGGCGCCGGCAGCCTCCCGCGAGGGAGTGCCCACTACTGCACCTGGAACCAGCGCCGACCCAGAAGAGGGAGCGCCCCGCCGTGGAAGAGCCAGAGGCCGAGGAAGACGTGGAGATTGTGAGCCCAGAGCCGCCTCAGGAAGTTCAGCGGGAAAACATCCCAACTGAAGAGATCATGTGCCC